ACTAACAGTAGCGCAGACCATTTCCTGGGCAGTTTGCCTCAGTTTCTTGTTTTCTGAAGTTTGTTTGCGTTGTTTTGAGATGTGTTTGCGGAGTTTGAGCCGCTCGATTGTTACACTTATAGTCATAAGTATGTTATAATACGCATATGTGTATCCCAATGGGATTATGATCTGATTTGGTCTATTGACATATTGTGTTAGTTTTGTTGTGATAAATGGTAAACTAGAGTTGCATATATTTGTATGAATATCTTTGATGAACTACGGGAGGCTTGATCCCTTGAGAAAGAGGGTACGTAGGCAGCCAGATTGGTGCAGCCAAATTATTTGTTGGAATTATTTGTGTGAATTATTTTTATTGATGATGCGATGCTATCTATTTGTCGATCGCCGCTCAGTTTTGAGCCCAATGAATCTCGGCTCTGTGAACGGTCGACCGGAGTGGTCTCTGCGGTCGACCGCCACATAGTATTGGCCACTGTTGATTTGTGATGTATCTTTCCTATGTTGAGTGTTCGCCTCAATTATTTGATACCAATTTATTATGTTAGTGAGTTATTTATACATGTGAGTCGACTGTTGACACAAGTACTGATCCGCATGTCGAGGCACGTGCGACATGAGACCTTGTGTATCTTTTGTGCATATATATACATATTTTCGACACTTACATTTTGTAAAGTTCTTATTTAGTCCTCGTGTTGGACATTCACTTTGCTTAGTCCTCGTGTTGGACATGTATTTTTATTTAGTCCTCGTGTTGGACATTCACTTTGCTTAGTCCTCGTGTTGGACATGTATTTTTATTTAGTCCTCGTGTTGGACATTCACTTTGCTTAGTCCTCGTGTTGGACATGTATTTTTATTTAGTCCTCGTGTTGGACATTCACTTTGCTTAGTCCTCGTGTTGGACATGTATTTTTATTTAGTCCTCGTGTTGGACATTCACTTTGCTTAGTCCTCGTGTTGGACATGTATTTTTATTTAGTCCTCGTGTTGGACATTCACTTTGCTTAGTCCTCGTGTTGGACATGTATTTTTATTTAGTCCTCGTGTTGGACATTCACTTTGCTTAGTCCTCGTGTTGGACATACATTTCTATTTAATCCTCGTGTTGGATATGCATTACCATCCGGTCCAAGCGTTGGACAACGGTCACATCCGGTCCATGCATTGGACAACGGTCACATCCGGTCCATGCGTTGGACAACGGTTATATTCAGTCCATGCGTTGGATACTCGTTACTTTCAGTCCATAAGTTGGACGTTTACTTCATGCAGTCTATGGGTTGGACGTTTAATCTATATAGTCTATGTTTTGGATACTTAATCGTTTTCTGACATGACACTCATGTGAGTTTGACATGACACCATGTTTGAAAGTAGAGATGTGTTTTGTTTTCTTTTATTATTGTTCATGTATTAGATTATGGGTTTGGTACTTAGGGATTTTCAATTTGAGATACAAGGTATATACATGAGGGTTTCCTTGTTTGGATTATTTCGCTCGACGTACCTATGCTCGTGTTGAAATTTCCTAGGTACTAAAATCCCCCTTAGTTTTAGGACAATTAATTATACATATATGATTTGAGACTTGTTAAGAACTCCAGTTTATTCATTTCAGACATTGACTTTGGATTTCTGTAATGTTGGATTATGAAATAGTATTTTGACTTCTATCATTTCATCAGTTATCTCTTGTATGATTTCTTACTTGCTTTTGTACCTACACCTGTTATTGACTCTACTAGAGTGATAGAATTGTGATGGTGAAACATGTTATTGCACGGTGTGGTGCATGGCAGGTTTGACATTCTTGGTTTCACCTTGGACTGTAGCCTTGTGTGAACCCAGGGGCGTCACAGAAATGAGTCTGAAATGCTTTGGAGGGGGTATCTGTAGGCGTCTAAAAATGCCTATAGGTGATCGTACACAGCTCGAAACGGAAAGAAGACAACGAACGTCGTTATCGAGTCTAAGAGGATTATCTGTCGTCGACAAGCACATGAAGCAAAACGACGAACCAAGTGGCCCGTGCGTATCAATCAGCTCGCGCGCGTTGGTCAACACGCGCACGTCAATCAGCTCGCGTGCGTCGGTCAACACGCGCGCGTTAATCAGTTCGCGCACGTTGGTCAACATGCGCGCGTCAATCAGTTCGTGCGCGTCGGTCAACACGCGCTCGTTAATCAGTTCGCGCACGTCAGTCAACACGCGCTCATCAATCAGCTTGCGTGCGTCGGTCAACACGTGCGCGTTAATCAGATCGTGCGCGTCGGTCAACACGCACGCATCAATCAACACGCGCACGTCAACCAACGCGCGCATGTCAACCAACGCGCGTTCGACGGTCAGTCCCGCAATGAAGCGCGCAAGACGGTCAAATACGCAAAATGATGGAGAATACAAGTCCCGGAAAACAGGAAAACACCAAAGGCCAAAAAAGCACGCGCGCGACCCAACCCGCGCCCGCGCGGGTCGGATGCGTCCGACCCGCGCAAGCGCGGGTCGGATCGTGCCGCCCCGCGCCCCTTCGCGCAGATTTGACCCGAAAACGCATTTTTGACGGTTTCGACTGGTTTTCACGAGATCTTTTCAGTTCCAGAGGTTCCTAACTGCCTAAATTCTATATCTAAACATGATTAATCAGTTATTAATTGAAGATAAAAAGGAATCCATCGTTCTTATCCCAAAACCTGTATCCGGAGCCTTATAAATACAAGCCCAGGGCCTCCTTTCAGAAGGAGGATTAATTATCAAGACGATGAAGTGCTACCGAGTTGGAGAGCAAGGGAGCACGAATTTCAGCAATGGCTAGCGAGATCCCGACGAATCCCGACATAAAGAAGGAGCAATTCGAAGGATCTGAAGCCCGTTCCCGTCTGTTCCTCGAGATTAGGCTTGGTCTTAATCTCGAGAAGAGCTACTGATTTCGCTTGGTCGATTTCAGCGCTTTAAGCAAATACCTCCTTGGCGAAGTAGGAGCTCTGCCGAATTTTCAGCAAACGGATCTGATCAAAGGTGGTCCACGGATAAACCCCGGCACATGCGAAGACACCCACGCAAGCAGGAGACGATAAACAAATCTTGCGTTTATTTTCAAGAGAATTGTATCTTTTATTTTCATTGTGTAAATGTCTTATAAAAAGACCGATCTTTTTGAACTTATTGTAACGATCAAAGTTGTAATGAGTTATACAATGAAGAAAATAATTTTCGACGAAAACACATAGTTGGTTCCCAATGATTCAAAATTGATAGGACAATTTAGTATATTTAGAAGCAACCTTAAATAAAATCTTTCTCTGGATGTCAAATGTGCATAAACTATGCTCCCGATGCTCTTGCCCTATCTTAATAATATCTAATACTTCCCTTGTTCTTGCAAACAAATATCGAAGGGAAATCTTCCTTGTTCTTGCAAACAAATATCGAAGGGAATTTTGCAATTTTCCCCAAAATAACAAATTAAAAAATGGTGTTTTTGTATTCTATAATTAGATTGCACTAAATCAAAATAAATTCATAAAATTAACAACTAGACATTTAATATTTAAAAATTATCTACCAATTAAGCTGGACATAAATAGTTAATAATTATAAGTCGTACTCTGTAAAGTAAAAATTTAAAAATTCAATATTGTGCTAAACTGGTTATATTACCATTAATGCATAAATAATCATATTTGCATTTTAAAAAGAAGAAATTTATAAAATAGACCTATTTTGCTAAATATTTAGCAAAACAGACCGTTTTGCTAAATATTTAGCAAAATAGACATTTTTTTGGCCAACATGCCAAAAAGATGTCGATTTTGGAAAACAGACCATTCGAAACATACGCGACTATTAGTCCCGTATGATTTAATTCAAAACATACAGGCAAAAAATATGTCGATATTTAGAAGCACTTGTCATGAATATCAATTGGTAATGATTAATATTAGAATGTGCTTGTAAAATGATCTCCAAAAATCAAGATTTACTCAGATGCTAATATAACATTTCGACAACAAAGAGCTTTACTGAAAGAGATTGCAATTAATTTCCACCTGTGTGTGCAAGATTTTCGGCTTCATCAAAATTCTAATTCGCCTCGGACCATGCTAGACACTTGGTTTACAACGAAGTCTGTCTGGCAATAACATCCTCTAAATTATCATCATCGATCGCTAATAAATGATGTTGGTTGTTGATTTGGAAGATAGAGTGACAGCCTTTCTACAGCAGGAGTTCTATGGTGGAGGTTGAACTAAAAGATTCTCCACATATCTTCAGGAGTAGAAATATATCTACATTCTAAAAGTTCCTTATAGTTTCATCACAACATTCAGTTTGGTCAGAATTTTGGTGTCTGCTATGTAGTATAAATGAGTCATAACTTGGACCTTTATGAGCGTATTTGGATAAATATTTAATCAATTGATCTCGATTACACCATTCAACATTTATATGAGCTAGGTACTTCATAAGAAGTTTTTTATTATATGGAACCATGTATCTTTTGTCTAACTCTACACCACTCTTTATAAAAACGCCACCCTTACCATTTCGCTGACAATAAATTGGAAATCCATTATCATTAATTCTAGTCTTACAAACATATGACTTAGGGAAGTGTACGTTTCAAACATTTACCATCCCTCATGCAAGGTGAATCTAGAAATGATCTCGCACAAGGTCCATGAATCATAAATTGTGTGACAGCTTCGTATCTAAGAGCCTGTTTGTTTCACACATTTTATGGAATAGGAATGATGTTTGTTTCACACATTTTATGGAATAGGAATGATATTTAAGTTTGACAGTGGTATTTTCGTAATTAAATGATTCCAAATGAATCCTATTCTTGAGTTTGGTTCAAAAAAATTTTACAGAATTGCTAATCCGTAAAGTGCTCAAAACAGTAGATATTTATGGAATCCCAAATCCTCTCCGTTTGAGAGGAATTGGGCCAAAAAGCTGACAACGCTCATCTTTCTTATTCCGATTCTTAATCTTCTTCGTCAGATCTGGTTTTTGAGAGTAATTGGGCCAGATCTGCCGTGGTTTCCCCGCTGTTCTTCTTCCGCCTCAGCTCTCTATTCTTCGCGCCTCTTCTTCGCTTCTCTTCTCCGGCCGCCCTTTGGGTTTCTTTGCGTGGTCGAGGCTGGTACTCGAAACCCTATATCTGGTACGCTCCCCAGAAGATCACCAAGGCCATGAAGCTCGTCGCCGCCGCCAAGGTCCGCCGAGCCCAGGAGGCCGTCGTCAACGGCCGCCCCTTCTCCGAAACCCTGGTCGAGGCCCTCTACAACATCAACGAGCAGATGCAGACCGATGACATCGACGTTCCCCTCACGAAGGTGAGGCCCGTGAAGAAGATTGCGCTCATTGTCGTCACTGGAGATCGAGGGCTCTGTGGGGGTTTCAATAACGCGATCATCAAGAAGGCTGAGTCGAGGATCGCCGAGTTGAAGACATTGGGGCTGGACTACACTGTTATTAGTGTTGGGAAGAAGGGCAATTCTTACTTTCTGTGGCGGCCGTATATCCCGGTTGATCGGTTTCTCGAGGGCGGGGCACTGCCCACAACGAAAGAGGCGCATGTTAGCATTTGTTTATGATACTTCAGTGGATGTAATTTATGATTTTGGAGATTAATCTTGTTAGTAGTCCTAGATTATTGAGATGTGGTCTTTAGTGAATCATCGTTGAACGCTACTTAATTATTAACCTTGCAAATTCTCATAAATTGATTGTCGAAGAAACGTAAACTTTGCTTTACAATCCTTTATTTTTTATACTTCTGTGCTTATAATTGATAATTTAGAGCTCAATCTTGCTAATGTTTCATAGATCAACGATCAAGATGTGATTTTAATTATATTTTGTGATCAGAAGTTGTGAACTTGGCAATTGTTTAGAAATGCCAATTTTTATGAAAGGATGAGGTCGATAACTTATGCAATTTATCACATACAGAAAGAAAGGTCATTGATTGTTAGCGTACTGGATTAAATATATGAAGATCTCTCCCGCCTTTAGAAGAATAATTCTTCAACCTGTGTCGCGTTTTGTCCTATTTTTATTGTCTAGCAGTGTTGTAAATTGTTCATGTCTTGTTGTTTGATTACACTCATCCATGTTGAAATTGATGAGTTTTTCTGTGTGCTTCAATTTAGATCTCAGACACGACAATGTGTAGTAAAAAAGTTTGTTTGACATCTATGAGGTTCCATGTTAGAACTTGTGACTATACACACTCTAGATTGCAAACTCATAGATGCTGCAGATTTGTGAAATTCATGTCAATATTTTGATTTTTGAACCTAGCTGAATTGTTGCAGGCTATTGCCGATGATGTATTCTCCCTCTTTGTCAGTGAGGAGGTCGACAAGGTCGAGCTTCTCTACACTCAATTTGTATCCCTCGTCAAGTCTGTCCCTGTGATCCATACTCTCCTTCCTCTCTCTCCCAAGGGCGAGATCTGCGACATCAATGGAGTTTGTGTTGATGCTGCTGAAGATGAGCTCTTCAAGCTTACCACCAAAGAAGGAAAATTAACAGTTGAAAGGGAGACTGTTAGAACCCCAACTCCATCTTTCTCTCCAATTCTTCAATTCGAGCAAGACCAAGGGTGAATTTGTTTTTTTAATGCTTGCTTTTTTTTAATGTTGTTTGAGAAATATTGTTGTTTCATATATTCCTTGGTAAATGCATGCATATCATATATTGTTTCATATTTCTTTAATATTAATATGGCTATGCTTACAATATATATTAGGCATTGGTTTGGAGCTTGTGTAGCTCCTTGCTCTTGAGAAATATTGTTGTTTCATATATTCCTTGGTAAATGCATGCATATCATATATTGTTTCATATTTCTTTAATATTAATATGGCTATGTTGCTCTTGTGCTTGTGGCTGTTATTTGGAGCTTGTGTAGCTCCTTGCTCTTGTGCTTGTGGCTGTTATTTGGAGCTTGTGTAGCTCCTCATTCGCATTGGTTTGTTGCTGTTGGGTTTGAAGCTTGTGTAGCTCCTTGAGTTTGGGTTTGTGACTGTTATTTGGAGCTTGTGTAGCTCCTCAATCTCTTCGGAGTTTGTTTTGATCACCTGTAGCTCATTGACGTTGGATTTTTGAGCTGACATTTTAGAGCTGGTGTAGCTTCTTGCTCTTGGGTTTGTTGTTGTTTTGTTTGGAGCTTGTGTAGCTCATTGCCTTTGGGTTTGTGACTGTTATTTGGAGCGTGTGTAGCTCCTCAAGCTCTTCAGGTTGGTTGTTGTTTTGTTTTGAGCATGTGTAGCTCATTGACTTTGATTTGTAGCTGACATTTTGGAGCTAGTGTAGCTCCTTGCTCCTGGGTTTGTTATTGTTTTGTTTGGAGCTTGTGTAGCTCCTTGCTAGGCGAGGCAATTCATCCTTATAATATAGTGTTTTTCCTTTGAATTCTGAAGTTGGGGGAACTAGCCGTTGCTACAGTGATTTTGTGTTGATCAGTGAGCTAGCCGTTACTACAGTGATGATCCCTAAAAAAATTTCATTCTGAACCAAACATGGTATTAGGAATTGGAGGGTTTCTATAAAAGTAAGATTCTTTTTTTCTTTGTGTGAAACAAACATAGAATGCAACAAAAATAGGATTCCATAAAATTAAAACTTGTCTATAAATTTTTTATGGATTAGGTTGGAATCCATAAATAAAATAGGATTCCTAATCCTATTCCTAACCTCTATTGAACCAAACAGGACTAGTTCCCTTGTCGGGTATCTCAGCATAAATAAATTGTCAATAGTCTTTGTCAAAGGTATTGTATAATCAGATGTTAGCCATAGAAGGATGTATGCATGAGGAAGTCCTCTCTTCTGAGACTCAACTATGTAAACTACTACATCGATGTTTAATAAACATTACTTTAAACTCTTTTACTTAAATTATTGCTATAATGCAGACTAAATATTAATTATATATGTAGTCCAATTATTTAATAAAAACAATGTATAGCAAGTAATTCATTACTCGAATCAAACAAACTTTATTAATAAAAAATGAACCGATGCACATTTTAAAGTGTACTAAATGTAACAAAAAAAAAGTTCATATTATATTAACAATTTGATTCTAACATATCATTTCAGGTGTTTTTTACATAGTACTCAAAATGTACATAGATTTAATTTTTTTTGAAGCAAAAACAAGGCAAATACTTCCCTATTTAATATTATTATTAAAACAGAGTTCATACAGACTTTCTCATGAAAGAACAAAAGATAGACACAAGAAGTGTCCTAAAAGTGTTAGCCAAAAGAAACTAAAATTTCTGAAACTAAATGATGCAAAAACCTTCTTACTCCATAGGTCCATCAGGGTGAGAAGCGAACATTGTCGTCACTGAAGAAAGCACAAGTGCTTTGGACATGTCATTCTAAAATACAATTGGATGTACTATTATTGCTATGTTGAATACCTCTCCCTCTGTTGTTATAAAGGTCATTTGGAAAAGAAGACCTGAAAGTGTATCACATTTGAGACACTTCTATAGCCATTTTGAGAGAAGGAAGTGATTGAAAGTTTGAAGATCTTTAACTCCTAGAACCCCCCTACCCCCATCCCCCAACCCTTCCTACCAAGGCACACACTGCTTTCCGGCTTTCCAAACATTTAAAAGGACATGAGCTAGTAGAGCCTGCCCATAGGAAATTCCTCTTGATAAAAATGGATTTGATAAAATACAAGTTTCAAGCAAAGAAAATTCTGTGATGCAATAACTGATTAAATTTCTCTAAATATTTAAGCGTGCACAACGTGATGATATAACATAAAATTAAATCCTTTTTTATTTTGTCAGAGTAGTCATTTCTTAAGTGGCTATAATTTTATTTGTTTGAAAACGTTATTCTTTGTCTTCTTAATTATATCCAAAATCATCATTTTTAAGGAAATGAAACAGATTAATAGAAATTCTTATTAAAAAATTATTAAATAGCATTTTTAAATTGTGTATGTTTTCATTAATTATTTCCAATAATTGCCAATTACTATTTGGCAAAATTATTCCGTTTTTGAATCATGCACATTCGGTTCCGAACTTTTCATAAAGTACAAATGTAATTTGTGATTCTACTATATTACATTAACTAACTTTTTCAATCTTTGTCCAATTAACATATATTTATCCAATCCATATTGCATAATCTAAACATGTAAGAGATGCAAACTTTGTATCATATGCCATAAAATGAATATGAAATGTTCAGATCAATAACAGTACCTGCCATTGCTTTGCCAAAGTGTTGGCCTTCTTTAAATCTATTATTAAGTGATCTAATTTCATCTTAAACGCTCTTGCAACTATATCCGGCTGGTCTTCAGGTTTGCTATTTTCGAACTTCTTAAGGCTGTGTTTGGGAACTTGGATTTGGGCCCCGGATTTAAAATCCTGGGTATTTCAAATCCAAATATCTTGTTTGGGTCTCAAATTGGACTGAGATTTTAAATCAAATGATTTTAAAGAGGTGATTTTGAAAGCCCAAATACACGTATTTGAAATCCCACCCTCACCCTTCGTATTTACCAAATCCAAATCCGGACGATGACGACTCCCCCGATCCCGACTCCTCCTCTCTCTCGTTTCTCAGCGGCGATCTCGAATCTCTCTCAACGCAGGTATCTCTCCTCTCTCCTCTCTCCCCCTCTCCTCTCTCCCCTTCTCCTCTCTCGTCTCAACGCAGGGATCTCTCTTCGTCTCAACGCAGGTATGACTTCAATTTTTGCTGTTTTTTAATTATTTTTAATTTTTTTTGGTTGTTTTTTTGGGGATCTGAGGATGTGGGTATCATTTATTTTCTTCAGTTTTCTTGGTTAAGAATTTCAGTGTGGATTTTTGACTATTGTAGTTGCCACCTCATGTATCTTCAGCTCAAACCTGTGCTGGTGTTGTTTGATAGAATGTCTGAGTAGGCTTGATTGTTGTTAAAGCATGAAAAAAAACTTACGTGAATGATACTAGGCTGGTAATGACTGTAAACAACAAGTTATATGGCTACCAATACCATGGAGAATATGTGGTGACTGTAGCAAATCACTGTATGAATTAGCTTTGGTAATGACGGTAAAAAGACTAGTATGTGTCACCAGGATTGATTACTGGAAGGGTGATATTAGGCTGGTAGTCAATAGTTTGCCCTTGGTTTGTTTAATTTGATGCATGCTTGGCTTTCAGCAGATTGCTGTTATTACCTTGAATAGTTTGCCCTTGGTTTGTTTAATTTGATGCATGCTTGGCTTTCAGCAGATTGCTGTTATTACCTTGACTCTTTCCTCTTGTTAACATTAGATTTCACAGCGTTAAGAGCTCTGATCTACTGGTAAAATGTAGCTAGGGAAGATAACGTTACGAGACATTATTTTCATTATCAGGTTATTTCCAATAAGATGCACATTACACAACCACTATATGTGTGTCCCGAATCAGGAGTTACCCTAGAAAAGCCAAGGATTCAGGCACATCTTTGATTTCGGGCATCACTGAAACTTGTCACAATTGAATTGCCTGTTAATGGATTGGAAACTTGCACCTATTTCTTTACTGAGTACCTGCAGATATATTTCCTCTGGGCTGCGAGCTATCGAAAAGCTAGGACATTTCTTCTAACGGGTCTGAACATCAGTCGCACCTCTTCTAACGGGTCTGAAAAGCTAGGAATATTGTACATTTTTTTAAAACATTTAGGGACTAGAGGGAAGTCCCCTTTCTTACAATGCTGTTTTCTCGTTTGGATAAGATGAGTTGGCATGATTTCGGTATCCTCTTTCTTGTCATTTAAGAAGCAAGTTCTTTCTGGTGTGGACTGTGTTACATGATGATTTTGGTCTATTGCGTCCATCCAGTTTTTATTTTCATTTTCTTGTGTTAATTCAAATTTATCTTGGAGCTACAAATTCATCTGAGATACAAAATTTGTGCTTGGTACTAGGTCCCTACATTTTTCTCTTTTATGTCATACAACTTTAAACTACATATTTGAATTTTGAAAGTAGTAGTGCAATACAAGACTTCTTTGATGAACAAATAAATATCAGTTTAGGCAGCATGCAACATAGCAAGCAATTATGGTGAATATCAAAATACAGCAGAGGGAAATGGAGATGCTTCAAGTGTTGCCAAGTCAGGCATTTACTCAAACTGTATGTTGGGAAAAGGGAACATACATCTGTGCTAACTCCCTCTGCATCCGACTTCCTTCAAGTTCTAGGATTTGATTAACACATGAATTAAGGGACCCATTAAATCTCCACATTCCAGCAACAATAGCAGAACCTGCAGTTTGTGTATTGGATCATTAGAAGGCAAGTGGCACATAACATTACGTATTCTCATGCAAATATGCAATACCTAGGGAACATGAAATCCAAACAAGCCAACAGCCAACCAAAATTGCAAAATGAAAACCAGACAATATCACAGAACAGTTAACATGGGTCTAACATTTATGTGATCATATTCCAAATTCTACAAGTATTTCCAATGATCTTCTACCTCTTAGATCTCTGTCTGTGATTATTTAATTAGCAGCATTTGGATACTTGTTTAGACCATTTGCATCTGTCTGTGATTATTTCATTAGCAGCATTTGGATTGCCTTTATCCATTGCTCTAGCTTTATCACAACATTAGCTTGTGACCTTGTCCATGGATAATGACATGCAAATTTTATGTGTCACTTTAGAGTTTGCTAGTGTTTGCTGGTGTTTGCTAGTGTTTCTTTCTGATGACAGCTACTTATTTCTTTTTATTATTTCATGCATTCTAATGATGGTCTTAATAATCCTAATAATTACCCTTGTACCTATTTTGAGTAGCATTTTAAATTTGCATCTTGCTAAATATATATTCAGGATATATGCGTAATCTGCTTGCATGTTCAACTTTTAATGTGATAGGTTAAAAATGGTAAATGATGAAAGGGATTCAATGATCCAACTTAAACGTACAAGGGAAGAATTGAGAGGAGAGAGGATGATGACATTATTATGGTAATGGTCAGTTTTATAGTTGCTGCCATTGGTGCTTGGTACTATACAAAGCACATGTTGAAGGAGAGTTCAAGAACACACGAAGAAGAGGATGAAAGGACATACCTTAGAAAGTCTTGGATTCGAAATCTTATTTGCAATGCAAATAACTGTGTTGAACAACTAAGGATGAATCCTCAAGCGTTTAAGAGGTTATGTGATGTTCTATGTACTAGAGGGGGATTAGTAGCATCAAGAAATGTCACGATTGAAGAAATTGTCGCTATGTTTTTGCATATTTTAGCTCATAATGTAAATAATAGGACAAGCAAAACAGATTTTTATCGTTCAAATGAAACAATTAGTCGACAGTTCCACAAAGTACTTCAAGCAGTCATGAAGATAGGAAGCCTCTATATTAGACAAGAATATACAAATCCTAATGAGAGAGACATAGAGAAGTGGAAATGGTTTGAGGTAACAATGACTTCTTTTATTAAGGTTTTCATGTTTAGTACTTTTGTTTAATAGAACTAATTGTAAGGTTGTGCAATTTTAGGATGCTATCGGGGCACTTGATGGGACTCATATCCAATTAACTATTCCTTTGGAAGATCAAAGTAGATATCGAAATAGAAAAGGAGAGAACAGTACAAATGTACTTGGTGTTTGTGATGCCAATTTGAGATTTTCATATGTGCTACCTGGTTGGGAGGGTTCAACATTAGATTCTCGTGTTTTGCGTGATGCTTTGCGTCGGCCCAATGGCTTAAACTTCCCTCAAGTAGGAATATAATTCTTTTAATTATTATATATGTATTGCTTCCTAGTTTTTACATTGTTGTGACTGAAGATTTTGATTTTGTAGATAAATACTTTCTTGTGGATGCTTGGTATACAAATGGGCCGGGGTTTTTGGCACCTTATCGAGGGACTCGCTATCATATAAAGTCTTGGAGAGAAAATGGTCCAAGAAACTACAAGGAGTTATTTAACCAACGTCATTCCTCTGCTAGAAACACAATTGAGAGAGCATTCGGATTGCTAAAAAAGCGATGGGCTATATTACGGACAGCTAGCTTTTATAGTGTTAAGACTCAAATTAGGATCATTAATGCATGTTGTATTCTTCACAACTTTTTACGTGAAGAGATGAATGAAGACGACTTGTTGAATGATGTGGATCGAGAATTAGAAGATTCTCCTGTTTTAGAAATTGAGAATGTAGATGATGAGCGTATCACCACTGTGAGAGTTACAGATGAATGGAGCAACTTTAGAGATAATTTAGATATGCAAATGTGGGATGAATACCGACTTTAAGATAATTTAGCTACAAGATGGAAATGAGGGTGACGAGTATGAAGAAGATGATGAGTGGTTGTGAGATTTTTATATATGCAGTGTAGTTTCTGTTTATGCAGTGTGGTTAATTTAGTCAAGTGCATTACTCTTGACTAAATTTGTATATTTTATATATGCTGATGACTGGTTATAGATTTTTATATATGCAGTGAGGAACATGAAGATTTTTTTTCTGTTTACTTGGGGCTATTACACCTTATGTTAGTCCTCGAATTTGAGGTTAGTGTTCCTTCCCAATTGCAAAAGTTTCAGCTATGTCAGTTTAAATTACTATCTTTGAGCTCAAATATTGATTCTTCTTATTGACATTAATTAAGCAATATATGGTTGGATAGAGACAGTGGCCAAAGCCAGTGATAGTGGCCTCGGATATGAATGTTATATCATATCAGTCTGGCAAAAACTTGAGTTACTAAACAAGAACATCATAACCAGTGGCGACGAAGGTACATCACCAAATATGTGGATAGAGACAGTGGCCATAGCCAGTGATAGTGGCCTCAGACTAGGCTTGACACAGTGTAGACATATGTAGTTTACAGGCCCCTAGAAAATCAAAGAAATTCTTCGGATAAGAAACTTACAATAAATAGTTTTAAGAAGAGCGTTATGAGTTCATGACTGTGCTTAAATATAAAACCTCATGAAAAATTCATCTCAGAAGTTGTATCGAAAAAATCACAACTATGTAGACCCTTCTTTACTTCCAACATACTTACAGACATAAATGTTAAAATATGGCATTTCATAGAATATTAAGTCATATTTATGGATAAACATGTGCAAAATTAACATTGAAGAGACAACTAAGTTCCATCTTTGTATATTTCTAACAACCTATGACTCATGAGGAACTTCAAAAGTAGAAAGTTAAACTTTCTTTTGACAAAAACTTTGAAGAAACTATGTTTCCAGTGTCCTGTGTATACAAATCCTGTAAGTAACTCTCTCCAAGTTTCATTTTCTCTTTGTTTGTGATGTTCTATAAACATACTGTTTAAAATAAACACTCCTTTACAGCTTTAAACTTGAAAACCATTAGCTTTGAATGCATGCACATAAAGAGGCTCATTATTGAGCACACAGAGCTACAACCAGAATCATTTGATTGCTTCAACTATCTTATGTTGCTTCATAAGGTGACCTCTCATTAATCAATTGTTTGTGAGATGATTGCTTCTCTTCACCTTGATAGGAGTATTTACTATTGTTCCAAAAGCTTGCAAGCAAGTTATTGACTCTATATGGGTTAATTGCCTTCATTACTAATCAACCTTTGTGCTTCAATACTAATTCTGTGTCATTCACTTTGGTATGTATTAGGATGATAAAGAAAGGGAAACAAATTGCATCTCATTCAAGATCATATGTTGTGTGGAATCGTGATATGGACGCAGCTTTAGCCAATGTGTTGTACGATCAAATGAACCAAGGATTAAAAGTCGATGGTACTTGGAAGCCTCAAGTGTATCAAGTTGCGGTTGATGCACTAAAATCATTTAATAGCAACTTGAAAAAAGATAACATGAAAAATCGACTCAAAATTTGGAAAACCCATTATAATGTTATCTATGACATTAAAAATAAAAGTGGTTTGACGTGGTTGGATGATGAGAAGAAAATGGTGATTATACCCGCTAGTGAGCAAAAAGTATGGAACGACTATGTTACAGTAATATTGCACTTTATATTTATTAATTTGAATTATTAGTTTGTTGCATATATCTAAAAAATATTTGTGAATGTTCTTATATTGCAGGCTAATCCAGATGCAAAAGGCTACCAGAATCGTTTGATTGAAAATTGGGATGACATTATGGTGTTAGAATCGTTTGATTGAAAATTGGGATGACATTATGGTGTTATGTGCAAAAGATAGAGCCAACGGTGAAGGTTCAGAAACTTTTGATGAGGCTGCTAACACAATGCAACATGATGAATCTGTGGCACAATCTGAAACAAACGAAGATGGAAGCTCTTCAAGGAAACATCTTCCTGGAACATCAACTAGTGGTGAGACAAGTTCAAAGAAACAAAAGAAGGGGGATAAATTGGTTGATTCACTTGTAGTGATGGAAGCTTCTGTGACTGAGTATTTTAATGAGAGAAAGAAGGAAATAGTAAGAAAACCACCAACCGGTGAGGAGATTCATCACGTGGTCTCAAAAATACCCAACTTAAGTCGCATTCAAATGTTCAAGGCATTTGAGAAGCTAATGGATAGCAACCCGGAAAAATTTTATTTGTTGAAGTCACTTCCTGATGATGAAAAAAGAGATTTCATTCTCTTTATTCTTAAGGAGAAGTTTCTAGTTGGATGGAAAGAACCCCCAAATCTTTGAACCCATTCGAGTAAGTTCTCTCTTGGATTTCTTTTTCTTGTTAGGCATATTTTAACTCTCATTATTTTGTCATTTATGTTAGGATGCAAACTTATAGTTGTGACTTCTGGAGTGAGTGATGCTATCTTTATTCGACTGATTTTATCAATTTTAAAATTGATCCCTAAATTTTGAGTACTATGGCTGGGATTTGCTCCCTGACTCTTTTAGACATGGGTTGTGAAACTGAAGGCTGAAACTTTGGGCCCTGATGATGATAAACTCACATTTTTAAGTGTTTATGCAGGGATTAGTTTATGTGAAACTTAATCGAAATCACAAGCAGATATGCTTTGTTGATGTCATGCCTAGAAGTAGATGATGTAATAATAACATTAATTTTAGGGATGCTATGGTACTTGTTTTGGACTCTCTCGTTTGAATTTGAACTGCAGTACAATAGAAGTTATATTGTACTGTACTAATTAAGAAGTATATATGTATATATGTACTAATTAGTTCGATTTTTGTGACGTGGACTAATTGATGCTAAATTGTGTAATGTAGGACTCAAATTCTTCGAGACATGAAGTTGGGCGCATTGGAGAGAAAAGAGGAGAAGACTTGAAGGATAAATAGAAGTTGGGCGCATTGGAGAGAAAAGAGGAGAAGACTTGAAGGATAAATAGAGGATTCTAGATATGTTTTATTTTAATAGTTTATGTTGTCGTAATTTGGCTTGTTGTAGCAAATCATGGTTACTTCTTATAGCAAATCATGGTTATCAACTACCTATGGTATGTTGTGTTTTAAATGAAGGATTATTGTGGAGTGTAGAGCTTCTTATGAGGAGTGTTTGCTAAACTCTTTTGACTCGTCGAGTCTTTTATCATGGCTAGTTATTGGAGTAGTACTCTTGTTCTTTGGAGATTGAAGGTTGATGTAGTATTGGATGAAACCATGAAAAAATGGCGTAATAATAAATATTTTGGACATTATTATTATTTTTTGTATTCTCTCATACCGATTCATGAAGGACAAGATGTTTGCATGTATATTTATAATTGCTAATGAAGAGATCAAACTTCTGAGGGGGTCGTGAAATTTACCCTAACTTTTTCCTCAATATAAACCATAATGTCAGAGATCAAACTTCTGAGGGGGTCGTGAAATTTACCCTAACTTTTTCCTCAATATAAACCATAATGTCCACATTTGATTTAATTATTAAGGAGTTAAGAGAGAGCATAAATTTTTTTTAAAACACCAATTTCAAATCCAAATTCATGTATAATAAAGTGCATCCAAACATCAGATTTTAAATCTGTGATTTCAAATCCTTGCATTTAGTGATGACATCCAAACAAAAGATTTTATCAAATCATGGATTTCAAATTCTAGATTTGAAATCCCATGATTTTAAATCAACCTTTCAAATCCAAATATTAGTTCCCAAACGCAGCCTAAATGCTTTTTTAACTTGAAGCCATTTAGGATTTGATGTGATCATCAAGAAGATATTTTGATTATCAAGGCTACATGATCATTACATTTTATTGCACTTTTATACCTTCATTATCTATTTTATGTGAATAAATATATCTACTAATAATATTTATTACCTTAATTTATATGTAATAAAGAAGGACAAATTTTTGTTTTAGACCCATTTAGAAATTTATTTCGAAAATCGACCCCTTTCATATTTATTTACAAATTTCGACCCAGTTTCAGCCAGTTGGCTGAAACTGGGTTGAAATTTGTAAATAAGGTTGAAAAACTTCACGGGAATTAAAATCCCGTGAAGTTTAAGTCATTTATTAGAAAGCTGGTTAACAGGGCCAAATCTTCACGGGATTTGAAATCTTGTGAAGTTACAGGCCAACTTCCATAGAGTCTCGCTCTCTGGCATAATTTAGTCTCACTTTTTGTTGGACCAAGTCTCTTTTTTTATGTCTTCCGGTAAAATATCGTGTAAGACATAATCAATAATGGGGAAACGCCAGTCTCGAGGCTCGAGTTCAACTCTAGCCGAGTGCGCCTCTTTGATGTCCAAGGCGCAGTCCGGTATGAAAAGTTAGTGAGTTCTTACAGTAACTAATTGTTCTGTTTCGGGAGGCTGTGCCAGAGATACCGCTAATGCTGCCAGTGCATCTGCATGTGCGTTCTGGAGACGCGGAATGTACTCGATGAAGAATTCTTTAAACAAGTCTGCCATCTCGATGACCACCTGGTGGTACGGGATCAGGTCTTGGTTTCTGACTTTGTACTCTCCTCGAACTTGGTTGACTATTAGTTAAGAATCACCAAAAGCTTCGAGATACTCGACCCTCAGTTTTTTGGTGAAACTGAGTCCAATGAGCAATGTGTTGTATTCGGTTACATTGTTAGAGCACGACTAGACCAATGAATAGGTGTGGGGCACTACATGTTTCTCCGGGGAAACTAGGACAACTCTAACTCCTGAGGAAATTTTAGAACATCCGGGAGCACTTGCCACATTGGTTGTTCGAGAAGCACCATCGAAGTATAATTGCCACACCTGCTGATGAGAGGTAGTGTTGACTTCATGAGTTTCATTCGACAAATCTTCATATAATTTGGCTGCATCGTTTGTAGGGTTGGTCGCTAGCAGATCACAAATTGCTTGCCCTTTGATCGACTTCTGTTGCTTAAAATATCGGTCATATTGGACAAGAGCAGGGCCCATCTCGCTAACCACCAATTCATGGAGGCTAGTTGCATCATGAATACACAGACTGGGTTAACATTGGAAATGACGTATCGTCTGTCCAACAAGGTAATGTCGCATTTTTTGAATTACGAATACTAGGGCAAGACACTCCTTCTCAATCATTGGATATCGAGATTTAGCGCCTACTAAAGTCTGACTCAGGTAATATATTGCCTGCTCGTGACCGTTGTCATCGTCTTGTGTGAGTAAAGTACTTAACGAGTGGTTCATCTCCTTAACATAAATCAAGAACGGTTTCCTTGACTTCGGTGCAATGAGAATGGGAGGATTTGACAGATATGCTTTGATATATTCGAATACCTTCTGACAAACATCATCCCAAATAAATGACACACCCTTCTTCGTGAGCTTGGAGAATGGTTGGCATTTCCCGAAGAGGTTCGAGATGAACTGTCGGATGTAAGCCAATCACCCTTATAATCCTTTGAGTTCTTTGAGATTTCTCGGGGGTCACAATTCGTGTATCACATTTACTTTATCAGGATCGATGTGGATACCTTTAGTGGTGATGATGAATTCGAGGAACTTGCCGTTAGACATTTTGAGAAAATACTTGGTGGGATTCATCTTTAATTGGTGACTATGCATGAGATCGAACATCGTCCTCAAGTCTTTAATATGGTCATCTTTGTTGTGGCTTTTCATGACCAAGTCATCGACATAGCACTCGGCGGTCTTCCGAAGGTGTTCCCGGAAAATCTTCGTCATTGGCCGTTGGTATGTAGCGCCTACATTCTTCAGGCCAAAAGGGCATGACTGTGTAGCAGAAGACGCCGAGGGGTGTTCTGAACATGGTATGCTTTTTGTCGTTCGGGTACATCGAGATTTGATTATAACCCGAGAATCCATCCATGAATGACATTCTCTCGAACCTACACGTATTGTCGATGATAATGTCCATGATCGGGAGAGTAAAGTCGTCTTTTGGGCAGGCGGTGTTCAGGTCTCTGAAGTCGATGCAGATCCTGAATTTCTCGTTCTTTTTAAGGACTGGTACAATATTTTCTAGCCAGTCAGGATGTTGTTCTTCCCTGATAAAACCCGAGTCATTCAACTAACTTTAGACTTGATCGCTTCCATAATCTGTGGACGAAACTATCTTTACTGTTGTTTGACAGATTTAGCATCTGGTTTGATGTTGAGGTGATGCATCGCCACGTTTGGATCATGTTCCGACGTATCTTCATAATTCCAGGCAAACATGTTGATATATTCCCTGATGAGGGTAGTTAACTCTTCCTTCTCGTCTGGTGGAAGACTATCACTGACAAATATGGGCTTCGAATTCGCTTCGTCGTCCATGTTCACCTGGACCACTTTGTCTTCGGTTAGAGGTTCTCTTTGTTCGAATCTATCACCATATTAGATATTCAGGTAATGTATCCAAGTATCTTCCCAAGTTGGCAATTGATCATTTTCCTCCATTGTGGCGGGATCGATCATGGCCATATTTAACATCAGCCCTTTGAACATTTCTCCAAGCCTGACGTCAGAGTCCCAGTCTGAAGAATCGGATGAGTATCAATCCTTATTCGTTAATCGGTTGATGACTTGCCAGTAATATTCATTATCGGATGAAGAGACATAGTTTAGACCTCTTTTATAGCTATAATAATTGTCGGGCTTTCCCTTTGGTACATAGGCCGGGCAAGGTGAGACTTGAGGACCTTGACCAAAACAAAGACCTTCTTTGAGTGCGAAGTTGTATCCCCATTTCTTTATGAAGTTACGCGCTTGTTAACTGTATCTGAATAAGTAAGGACCAGGTCTCTCATCGTCGCTATCTCCCTTTGAGAAGGGATCTGCAACTTTGGTCTTTTACACGTTTTCACATTCTGACTACATAAGTGTGTAAAATATAAAAACTCTCAACTAGTCATTATTTCCAGATTTTCACTCTTGGCCTTTGTGCATGCTTTGTGTATTTGCACTCTTATTTTCACAAATATACATTGAATAAATCTCAAATCAATTCTTATCATACTCAAATATCAAAATATGTTATTTTCACTATATAACATATTTATTATTATTTATCATAAAATATTTAAATTTATGAGATTTTATAGGGACACACCCTGTTTAGTAGACTTGACTATTCCCTAGAATGCCAAGAAGGGCTGGCAAAGGAGAAGTCGGCCAAGGAAGAGGCAGAGAAGAGAATCGCTATCTTAGACGCCAAATTAACTCATAAAGAAGACACTTGGCACCAAAGTCTGGATGAGAAGCAAGAGCTCCTTAGGAGCTTTCGAATCTAGTTCTCCAA